TGTTGGGGCCGCCCCGGGCACCCGCCCGAGCCACTCGCCCAGAGCCCCAGAGCGCTCCCGGTGACCCCGTCGGCTGCTCCCGGTGACCCTGCTCTCTCCTTCCCGGGGTGGCGGCGGCAGAGGAAGGATTTCCCCAGCAACAGCTTCTACGTGGTGGTGGTGGTGAAGACGGAGGACGAGGCGTGTGGCGGGAATCTGCCTTACTACCCCTTCTCCAAAGGTACGGGTGAGGTGAACTGGGGCGCAGGAGCCAGGTCCGCTCGAGCAGCGTGCCGGCACGGTGACATCCGGCCTTTTGCTTTTCCAGACGAACCCGTAGATCAAGGCAATCGGCAGAAGGCGCTGGAGGTGGTGGTGTCACCTGCTATTACCTGTAAGCGGCGGGTGGTGGCAGGGGTGGGGCTGCTCCGTGTGAACCCGTTGCCCGCCGCGGCGATGCCTGGGCTGCCATGCCCGGGCTGCTCGACGCCCTCCCTGCGGGGCGGCAGGATCGCTGCGGGACCGGCTGGGCTCCCCTGGCTGTTGGGGCAGGCGTCCGGGCCCTGGCAGCTGAGGCCGGGGCAGCAGCGCTTGTTTCCATAGCTGGGAAGGGGGTCTCCACCCTCCGTGGGGTGGCCGTAGCTGGGCCAGGGGCTGGGGCCTTTGTCGGTCAGCAGGATGGGAGCCCACTGTCCAGAGGTCCGGGGGCAGAGCAAGCTGGGGCCTGGGGCGGATGCCGTGCCCCCGGCTGAGCCCCCTCCCCGCTTGTTGTCCCTGCAGCGGAGGCCTACGTTAGCGGCATGCTCTTCTGCCTGGGCATCTTCCTCTCCTTCTACGCGCTGACGCTGCTCATCGCCTGCTGGAAGAGCTGCAGGTGAGCGCCCGCGCGTCGCCCCACCCAGCCCGCTGCAGGCTGCTGCGACGATGCCGGCGGCTCGGCTCCGTTGGCTGCGAAGCCAGGCACTGGGCAGCTGCCCCCACCCCCAAGTCCTCGCTATTTCTGCTGCCTGGCAGCTGGAGTCCGTGGCCCTGCGCTGTGACACGGTGCACGGAGCTGCACATGGCGATTGTCCACCAAGCTGGGAATCGCCCTCCTGCCTCCACGAGCTAGGGCCTGACGGCAGCCAGTGAACCAGAGCCTCTCCGATGGCTACCTGGGCACTGGGCTGGTTGGCATTAATACATTAATACCCAGCCAGCACCACGGTCCCTCCCTCCATGAGAGCCCGGCATGGCTGTCTCCACACGGGCCCTGTGAACAGGTCACTCCTGCTGGCATGGGACCTCCCTGGGCAGCCTCCATCCATCGCAGGGCCCAGTGGGGCCTGGGCTGCCAGAGCTGGGACTGGAGAAGCTGAGATGCCCTAGCCCTGCTGGCTAAGGTCTCCTCTGTCTTGCAGACAGCAGAAGAAGAAAGGGCTCCTGGCTGCCCTGGGCTCGCCCAGCACCGACACGGGTAGGGGAACGGCCGGAGCTGCGGGTGCGACTCGGGGAGGGGAGTGTTGGGGATCCTTTGCCTTGTCGTCTGCCTGGAGCTTTCCCTCTGCTCTCTGGACACGCAGGCCCCCGGGCCCCGGTCTGCATTGGTGGGAATCGCTCCCCCCATGACAACTTCCCTGTGGTCGGGACCTTTCCCCCACGAGGGGCTCCAGCGCGGCTCGCTGCTCAGCTGGCTCTGAGTTGGCCCCCGCTCTCCGGTGCAGAGCCCCGGTCCTGTGTGCATGTCTGCGGGATGGGCCGGACTGCCGCGCCGGGGCCTGCGCTCCGTGGCCCTGCGGTTCGGGGACTCCAGCTGGGGAAGCGGCAGGGTCACTGACTGCCTGTGTCTGTCTGTCGGTCTGTCTGTCTGTCTCTGTCTCTGTGCCTGCGTCTCTCTTGGGGGAATTTCCCCTCCCAGCATCTTTACTGGGTAAGTCCGGAGCTCCAGGCTGCAAACTCCTCACAGACCGTTGAACCCTTCCAGTGTGGGGGCACATCTGCCCAGCGTGACCCTGTGCAGGTGGCGGTCCCGGGTAGGCAGGGCAGGACCCAGGGTCCAGTCTGGGGCTACGCAGGCTCCTCCTGCTTGGCTTTGCCCGGGTCCTGTCCCCCACAGAGCTGCAGCCTGCCCCAGCCTCACTCACTCAGAAACCCTCCGGCCCCTGCGCCCCGGGGTGCGTGTGCACGCTGGCAATGCACGGGCCGTCAGCTGCTGACCTGGGGTTGTGCTCTGCCTTGCAGGCCATGCCCGTGCCACCCCCGACTCTCTCCTCGGGCGTCCCTATGATGGCTACGGCTATGGCTCCTTCGGTGAGTACTGGCTCTGAGCACCTGGGGCTGATCCACAGCAGGAGCGGGCCTGGGGAGATCAGGTCGCTCGCTTGGCATGGGTGGCACCAGCCCCTGCTTGCTGGTGGCTGCCTCGGGCCGTGGGGCTCCAGTGACACGGGTCGGGTCCGTCCCTGACCCTGCGCCCAGCGCCTCCTTCCTCCCTGGCCCTTAGACGGTGCTGGGAGAGGCAGGGACTCCGGCTGCGGCAGTCTTGTCCTTCTATCCCTGCCCTGCGGGCACGCGCACCTTCCCTCTGCTTGCCAGGAGCCCACTCCTGGCTGGGCCTTGACCCCTGATTCTGCCTCCTTCCAGAGAACGGCTCCACCCTGAGCACCGAGGGCATCACGGACAGCATGGGCTCCACGGAGGTCTCCTACGCGTACGCAGGTGAGTCGCAGCCCGTGCCCCGCCAGGCTGGGGAGGGTCCAGCTCTGCCAGCCAACCCGAGCCCCTCTGATGGCGCCGGGCAGAGCTGGGCTTGGCCTGCCTGGAGCATCCTGTCCATGTTCAGCAGCCCCGAGAGGGACCTGCCCGGCTTTGCTTAAAGGACTTGGCCCGGGGGCGTCTGCCCCAGGGTTTCATCTGCACCCAGACCCACCCATCGCCCTGGTCTCACACCAGCCCCCTGCGCCCTCCGAGCCCCGCTGCCCTCTGCAAGGCGAGGCTGGGCCTGACCCCCGGGGAGCCAGCCCCGTCCCGATCCCATCCCGGTAACTCTCGCTTTCCTTCGAAGGGCAGGACCCGTTCAAGCGACGCGTCTCCTCCAGCCAGACGAGGCACCTGGCCATTGCGATGGGTAGATGCTGAGGCTAAGCAGAGCAGGCTCTAGGGAGCCCCGATCGATCCCCCCTGCCGCACTGCCCGGCTTCACGGTGCCAGGCAGGCCCAGGCCCAGTGGTGCTCCCCAGCCCGGCTGGGTCAGGCCCCTTTTGGCAGCTCAGGCCTCTGGGAGCACGGGGAAGGGTAGGGACACCCCAGGGGCTCTCCCTCTGCCCCTCGGCACCTGCCTGGGTCTGAGCTGGTAGCGTGAAGCCTGCAGGACCCCCATCCCCACCCCGCGCTTTCTGAGGGGCCCGGGTTCCCGGTGCGTGCTCCCCGGGGGCAGGGAGTGCAATGGCTCCTGGTGACGACGGCCGGCGCCTGCTCCCAGAGCGGGGGATTTACCCCGAGCCTGGTGCCAGGTGTGCACCGGGCAGCGCTCCCTGCATGGGGTTGGGGGCCGTGGCACTGCTCCCTTCAGCAGGCAGCTGCGTGTGCTCTTGGCTTTGGCCCTGGCACGCCATCGAGCCGCCCCTCGGAAAGCGTGAGGCACCCGCATGACACCCACCGAGCGCCCACGTCCTGGCTGGGACCTGCCAGGGGCGATGTCTCGCACCCGGACCCAAATGACCCCCAATCAGCAGGGAACGCACCGCTGGGGCTTTGATTGCCCTGGCATGCATGTTCAGCTCAGTGCACTGGTGATTCCTGGCGCGAGGGGCGAGAAGGACAGCGGGACCCCAGCGAGCCGCCCCCGGTGCTGGGGGGATTCTCTCGCCCAGGGCAGAGCAGCCGTCCCAGGTGCCCACGAGTCCCTTTGCACTGAGCTGTGCCCCCCTGAATGAGCAGGGGCACGTTCGGCGCCGTGATTGGCTCGATCCAATTGATTCGGGCTGTGCTGCGGGGGCCACGGCACCGTGGCCCTGGGTGACACTGCTGCCCCTCTCGCCATGCAGAGCGGTCGCTGGAGAACGTGGCCAGCCGGCCCCGCTTGGACTCGCTCAGCTCCGTGGAGGAGGACGACTACGACACGCTGGCCGACATCGACTCCGACAAGAATGTCATCCGCACCAAGGTCTGCGGGGCAGGGGCAGTGCTGCGGGCAGTGCTGCGGGCAGGGGTGGGGTGGGGTAGGGACGGTGGCCGTGGCTCTGGGGCAGTGCTAGGGAACAACGGGTGCCGGCCAGCCCAGGGCTTGGGGGTGTCCTCCTGCCTGCGCGCTGAGGCTGCTGGCGGATGGGCTCTGCCCTGGGTGCCTGCCTGACCCTGGGGTGCCCTGTCCTACCCACCCCTGCATTCTCCGTGCCGGCCCCGCTGACCCATCTCTCCCCCCAGAAATACCTGTCCGTGGCAGACCTGGCCCGAAAGGACAAGCGCGTGCTGCGGAAGAAGTACCAGATCTACTTCTGGTGAGCTGGGGAAGTGTGGAAGTGCAGGGGGCACCTCCTGTTTGCCCTCGCACTCAGAGCCCTGCCCAGCCCCGCAGTGGCTGGAGGTCGGCCTGAGGTCCGAGTCAGCTGCCCCGGGCGCTGGCTCCTCTGCAGCGCAGGCACCGTGCTGCATTGCCCCAGCCCCGTGTGCGGGGAAGGGACTGGGCTGGAGGTGCCGCCAGCGCCCGCCCAGCTCACGGTGCCTCTTGCAGGAACATCGCCACCATCGCCGTGTTCTACGCCCTCCCGGTCATCCAGCTGGTCATCACCTACCAGACGGTACGTGCAGCCCCGGCCTCGCTCTGCGCTGCCTGGCCGGTGCCTGGGGGATGCCCACGCCCCAAGTCCTGCCCTGCAGCCTCATCAGAGGACTGGGCTGGTGCTGGGCTCTGCCTGCCCGGTGCTGCCAGGGGCTGTGTGAATCTGCAGCCCAGGCTCCCCGCTCCACCAGCTGCCAATCCATGGACCCACGAGGGAACCGTCCCCTTCCACAATCCCCAGACGGAGCCCCCCAGGTCCTGGGCAGCTTGGGCTCTGCCCCCTGCTCATCCCCCCATGCTCTCTCTGCTCCCGGGTCCAGGTGGTGAACGTTACAGGCAATCAGGACATTTGCTACTACAACTTCCTCTGCGCCCACCCGCTGGGCAACCTCAGGTAGGAGCCAGCACTGAGCCAGGGCCGTGCCCCGCAGGCATGGTCCCCGGCCACAGCACCCCCCGGGCTCCCTGCTGCAGCTGGACACAGCTGGCTGAGGGCTATGGGGCAAGATGGCCCCATAGCAGCAGCTGGAGCTGCAGGACAGCAGAGGGGAGGGTGTGCCTGGGAGGGAGGCAGCGGGGCCTGGACGCAGGGTGGCAGCGCCGGCAGGGGATGGGTGGGTCCACCCCAGCCACCCCTGGGCAGCTGTGATCTGGGGGTGGAGGGGTCTGTGCTGCGGGTGCTGGGGCACTGACGCAGATGGGCCTGCTCCCCGCCAGCGCCTTCAACAACATCCTGAGCAACCTGGGCTACATCCTGCTGGGCCTGCTCTTCCTGCTCATTATCCTGCAGCGGGAGATCCACTACAACCGGGCGTTGATGCGCAGCGACACTAATGCCCTGGTGAGAGACGCCCCTGCGGCGTTCGCAGGAGCAGACCCCAGGGCTTGGGACAGGGGGGAGCCATGGGAGGGCTTGCCCGGGGTGCCAGCCAGGCTGGGTGCTGTGACCCAGGGTGCGGCTGGGGATGGCTGAGCCCCTGAGCATGCCTGGCAGGGACCTGCTGGGCCCTGTCCATCTGTCTGTCTGCCTGAGCATGCCATCCTTCCCTCGCCGCAGGAGTGTGGCATCCCCAAGCACTTTGGGCTCTTCTATGCCATGGGCACGGCGCTGATGATGGAGGGGCTGCTCAGCGCCTGCTACCACGTCTGCCCCAACTACACTAACTTCCAGTTCGGTGAGTGCCAGCCCTCTCTGAGCTGTGGTCCCACACCCCCCTGCCCAGCTCCCTCCCTGTCCCAGGGCTGGCGGCGACCGGCTGCAGACGACCCGCGGCCTCAGCGCATTGCTGCCGCGGCTCAGCCAACCCCTCCCGTTGCAGACACCTCCTTCATGTACATGATTGCGGGGCTCTGCATGCTGAAGCTGTACCAGAAGCGCCACCCCGACATCAATGCCAGCGCCTACAGCGCCTATGCCTGCCTGGCCGTCGTCATCTTCTTCTCCGTCGTCGGGGTGGTGAGTGCCGGGCTCATCTGTCCCCATGGGAGCCGGGGCCCTGCAAGCCCCTGCGAGCACGTGGCAGGCCCCTGGTCCCACTAGCAGCATCCTTGGGGGTGGGATGGAGGTGCTGCCCGATGTCACTTAAGCCCCTGTGTGCTGCACCTTGGTCCTGTTGGTGTGGTGCAAAACCCATGGGCCCTGTCGCCAAGGGACCAAGCTCTGCATAGTCCATGGGAGCCAGCGGGGCTCTGGGTGGACTTTGGACTCCACGCGGTCCCCTCCAAAGCATCAGACCTTGGGAAACCTGGTGCCAGGGCCGACGGCTTCTCTAGGCGTGGGCACCAGGCCCTGTCCAGCTGTGCTCATCGCCCTCCCGCCGGCAGGTCTTTGGCAGAGGGAACACGGTGTTCTGGATCGTCTTCTCCGTCATCCACATCTTCGCCACCCTGCTTCTGAGCACGCAGCTCTACTACATGGGCCGCTGGAAGCTGGGTGAGGGCCCTGCTGGGGCTGGGCGGGGAGGGAGGGAGGGCTGGCATCAGGATGGGCCAGACGTCCAGCTGGGTCCTGGTGACCTCCCGGTGTCCCCAGCTGTGTTCACCGACATCTCCAGCCACACACATCACCGGCAGAGCCTTTAGCTGACCTCATGTGTGGCCGACGTGGCCCTGTCTGGCCCCTGGGACAGGGGGTCTGGGTCCAGGCGCTGGGGTATATTGCAGGGGAAGGATTCAGAGCGCTGCTCTCCCGGGCACCCTCCTTGGGGCATCGGCTCCACCTCCCTCCCCTCGCCCAGGGCACCAGCTCTGCTCACGCCCATGCGGGCTCTCTCTGCAGACTCGGGGATCCCACGCAGGATCGTGCACGTGATGTACACGGATTGCATCCGCCAGTGCAGTGGGCCCATGTACGTGGTGAGTGCCGGCGCCCACCCTTCGCCTTGCTGCTCTCCACGGCACATCCACCGAGCGGATGGGCCGTGCCCCCAGAGCCAGCCCTGAGCCTGCCCGCCCCATGGATCTGCTGTCTTGGGGCCTCGTGCTCTGAGCTGGGCAGCCGGGGCGGATGGCTGCCCAAACCCACACCCCTGCCCCGCCAGTCCCTGCACCCCGAGCCGACACGGTTCTGGGCTGGGTTTGTGCTGGAGCCGGGGCCTTAGCTCTGAGCTCTGGAGCTGGCACGTTGACGCCTTCATTGCTGCACCCTGCTTCGTGTCTGGGACGTGCCAGAGGCCCCCCCAGGGCTCGGGGCCATGGGAACCATGTGCCCGAGCCCTGCCGCAGGCCTTCCCATCTGTCCATCTGTCTGTCCACAGGATCGGATGGTGCTGCTGGTCATGGGCAACATCATCAACTGGTCCCTGTAAGTCCACAGTGCTGGGTGGAGGGAGAGAAGGGCCGGTGCGGAGCTCGCTGAGGGGGTGGGCACCGGGAAAACTGCTCCCCCAGGCCAGAGCTGCATGCTCCTCTGCTGCAGGCCTGGGCCCAGGCTGGTCTCCCAAGCTGCGGCGGTGGCTGCAGCAGGAGGCGCGGGGGCAGGGGTGGTGCTGCCCCCCAGGCGGGCACTGCCCAGGCCTGCCTGACCCCGTCTTGCCCGCAGCGCTGCCTACGGCCTCATCATCCGCCCCAACGACTTCGCCTCCTACCTCCTGGCCATCGGCATCTGCAACCTGCTGCTCTACTTCGCCTTCTACATCATCATGAAGGTGCGGGCAGGACCCTGCCCCTGCCCTGGCACCCCACAGCTGGGCTGTCCAGACCCACTGGAGCCCCACGGTGCTGAGGGCAGCTGGGGCCCAGGGTGGGCAACGGGATGATACTAGCCAAGCCCCAGGTGACCTCTGTTGAGAGCCTGGACAAAGGGCCACTGGTCCCTGCTTGCAGCTGCTGCAGCCAGGGCCCCTGCACCCCTCTTACCCTCCATCCATGCAGTCAGGGGGGAGGGAGCCCCCTGCCCCGGGGGCTGCGTGGCTGTGGCCTCCCCAGAGCCCCCACTTCTTCCCAGTGCATGCGGGGAAGCTCCCCGAGCCGGGCACCGTCTCACTCAGTGCCATCTCCCCACAGCTCCGGAGTGGGGAACGCATCAAGTTCATCCCGCTGCTCTGCATCGTCTGCACCTCCGTGGTCTGGGGCTTCGCCCTCTTCTTCTTCTTCCAGGGTCTCAGCACCTGGCAGGTAAGTGGGGCGCGGCGGGGCTCCCTGGGGCCAGGCCAGGGCGGCTCCCCAGGCTGGGAGGGCCGTCGTGGTCGCGGTCAGGGGGTGACCGGCCGGCTCCGCCTGTGCCCCCTGCAGCAGACCCCGGCTGAGTCGCGGGAGCACAACAGGGACTGCATCCTGCTGGACTTCTTCGACGACCACGACATCTGGCACTTCCTCTCCTCCATCGCCATGTTCGGCTCCTTCCTGGTGGGTGCCCCAGCACCGCACCGGCAGGGTGGGGTGGGACGGAGAGTGTCTCTGCTGCCTCACTCGCCCCAGGGCCAGGCTCTGACCAGGGCTCCGGGGGTACTGACCCCACGCCGGCCCTGCCTGAGTGCTGCCATCCCCATGCAGGTGTTGCTGACCCTGGATGATGACCTCGACTGCGTCCAGCGCGACAAAATCTACGTCTTCTAGGCTCCTGGCCGCAGGCCCTGGCATGTCCAGCACCTCCCGGGCAGGGCTCCCACCACAGCTGCGGTTGGCGGGGAGGCTGCAGCAGCGCCCTTGGCTTGGGGACTCTCTTTGGGGCGGCTCCGTGCCGCCCGTCCCTGCTGCGTTGGAGAGCGCTCCCCTCGATCCTGCCCACAGCCTGGCCAGCCCCGGGAGCTGCGGCAGGTGCAGATGGGGCTGGGGCCAGAGGGGCTCTGCAGAGGCACCTGCCCCTTGCCCTTGGGGTGGGTCGCACTGGAGCCACGGGGCCTGTGGCATCACCCGGGAGGTGGCCGGTTCTCGGCGCAGCAGCTGGCAGGCTCCAGCCGCACAGCCGGGCTCCACGGCAGAGGGGGGAGGAGCATCTGGCGCACAGCCGGGCTCCACGGCAGAGGGGGGAGCAGCATCTGCCGGTCTGCGGCGGTGCCCCGGACTTGTCTGCACAGGAGGGAAACCCGCTGCGTCCTCTGCAGCTCCTGCATCTGAGGGCAGAGCTCGCCCTCCCCAAACTCGGGCGCAGTCCCACCTCTGCACATGCGGGTCCTGCCTGCCGGCCCCCGTGCCCGGGCAGAGCTGAGCGGATGGCCTCAAGTCAGGGCAACGAGCCACAGAGACAGCACAAGGCCACGCATGGCCCCCTCCCTCGTCTCCGTTCACGGCACTCGGTGGGCAGCATCCGGCCCGGCCCCAGTATTCGTTCCTCGCTTCGTGGCTCTGGGGCTGGGCTATCCGTGCTCCCAGACACGCGACTTGCCAAGGTGCTGCTGTTGCTGCTATCGCCCCCGTGGCAGCGTGGCCTTTCCTGATGGACACCTGCCACTCCGGGGCAGCCAGCCCACGTGCCAACAACACTCCTTTACCCCCCTGCCCCCGGGTACTGCCACAGCCCGTCCGGTTGAAGAAGCACATGGTGTGTGACTTTCAGTGCCTATCTCTGGGGTGTGTGTCCCGTACCACGCCCCCCGCCGCCCAGGACTGCATGGCGCCTTCGGCCCCTGCTGACACGTGTGGGGCGAGGCGGGCATCTGTGCCTCTGCCCCCACTGCCTCCCACCCGCCCCGGGCGGGGGGCGTTTACATGGCAGGGTCCGACCCGGTGCCTCACTGCAGAGGGGGTTTTGTTGCAAGCTTCAAATTTGAATCCGATCCAGGGCTCCTTGCGCCCGGCTCGGCGGTGCTGCCCAGGGGGGAGTCACGGTGAAGCCCCCTCCTCCATGCTGCCAGGGGGGCGCAGACGGGCACCTGGGGCTCCCGACCCCAGACTGCACAGGCCAAGGAGTGGGGGGCTCAGGGTTTGTGCTCCTCATGCTGCTGTCCCCGGACCACGCTGCCGTGGGCTTTCTGTGGACAGTTAGCTAGTGGAGGACAAGCATTAAATGCCGTGTTGATCTGCACTTTACCCACTTGTCTGCTGCCTTCTTGTTCCCCATGGGGGGCTTGGGCAGCCAGGCCCCCTCCCCTTGTCCATGGCACCGGCCCCACTGGGGTCTGTCGGGGCTCCGGGCCCTGGTTCTGCAGGGCAGAGGCATCTCCCGCTCTGCAAGGAGCTCCTGCCCCAGCACTTGGAGGGTGTCTGTCCATCCCCCGCCACACCCCACATGCACAGCACCAGCCCTGGCACAGGCCGCTGGGTGCCCCCAGGCTCAGCTCCCCTTTGCAAGAGCCTGCTCTGTTGCCTGACCTTGGGCCCTGCCCGGGGGCTGAAGAAGAAGCCCATCTCCCAGGCCCCATTCACGGCTGCTTGGGTCTCAGGGCATCCAGCCAGGCCTGAGCTGGGTGACTGCTGCTCCCCTGACTGGATGCCAGGAGCAGAGCCTGGCACGGCAGCTCCCTCGAGTCTGGGGCACGAGGTGCCTGCTGCCCGCCCGCCTCTGCACTGCTGCAGCCCCCACCCTCAGCCCAGGGCAGGGTGTGGGGCAGCAGCAAGGACCCCCATGATGCCTGCTGTACCCATGGCCAGAGCATGTGGGGGGTGACTGCCCACTTCAGCCAGGCCACTGCCCAGCACAGAGGTGCCCGCAGGGTCAAGGCCGCCCCTGGCCATGCCCAAGCCCCGACGCCCGGAGCGCAGGCAGGAGGGAGATCCAGCAGCCTCCGAGCACTAGCAGAGCAACCCCAGCCCTGTCGCCCTGCCCCAGGCCCTGGAGGGGAAGGGCAAAGGGCACCTTATTATTAATTGCCCTCATCTCCCTCACACCTGCTCCCCACCTCCACCCACTGGCTCCCAGCACCAACATGCATCACTCGCTGGCCTCAATTAGCTCCAATTAGCTGCTCCCAGCAGCACTACCCCCAGCTCCAGGCACCTAGGTGCAGCCCTTATAAAAACCCACCCACAAGCCCTCAGCCTTCCCACAGCTGCTGGAGATGCTGCTGGAAAACCGGGTAGTGAAGGCGCAGCCACATAACTGATTTTTAGTTCTAGCAGGAAAGGCAGAGCATCGTATCTCAGCCGGCAAGGGGAGGGTACGGGAAGCTCTGGGCATCGATGCAGGGCACAGATGCAGGGTATGGAGGCAGGTGCAGATGCAGGGCGCGGATGCAGGCGCAGGGCACGGGTACAGATATAGATTCCAGATACATGAGCACAGGCTGCTGCCATCTTGCCCAGGGGCACAGGCAGGGTCCTGGAGGACCCCAACATGCCCTGCAGACGCATGCTCTCCTAGAGCAGCACAGCCCCTTGGAAAATGCCTGCAGCAGCTCTGCCCCGTGGCTTAGGAAGTGGGGCAGGATGTGGGCAGAGGTGCAGGGAGATGGGCTGTGGGGCTGCCCCAACTGAAATGTGCCCAGGATAGTGGGGACCAGCCCTGCTCGTGGGGTCTAGCCCGGTGCTTCTCAGCCTTTATTGCTTGCGGCACTCCAGATACTCGCAGCCCCTTGGAAAATGCCAGCCCTTCATTTTCATTACAAAAATTTTTTTTTGACTACAGAAAAATAAAAGAGCCACTTGCCTGTTGCAAAGAGCGCCTAGACCACAAGTCTGGATTTCTCTGAAATCTCTGGGTTCCTCTTGTAAATCATGTCTGCACACCAAGCAGTGCTAACATGGTCTGGTGCCCGTGGCACCCCTGAAAGCTCTCGAGGGACCGCGGTGCTGCGGCACCCCCTGAGGATTGTGGGGTGGGAGGTGCTGCATCAGGCCGCGAGGAGCAGGGGAAGGGCAGGGCAGTGCATGCAGCAGCCTCTGCTCTGGTCGAAGCAGCAGTGGGCAGGGAGGCTGTGGGTAGGAGGGCCCGTGTCCAGAGAGGCTGGCTGTGCAGGGGAGCCCAGGGACGCGGCTGCCCTGCTCTGCACAACCTCATGCCACATGCAAGGGAGGGGACTGCGCTGGGCTCTGCTCTGTGCCTGGCCCACGGAGCCCGAGCCCTGCGGCAGGGGCCAGGATGGGGCTGGCCTGTGTGCAGAACATGCCATGTACACCTGTGCCCCATGGCAGGGCTGCTCACGTTGGGGGATATTTTATTTAGCCGTGAGCTTTGAATCGTAGCATCCGAGAGCCATGGGGCTGGCAAGGAGCTCACATCCAGCCCAAGCCCTGCCCGAGGCAGGATCAGCCCTGTCTGAACCAGCCCAGGCAAACCCACTGTCCGACCTCGTAGCAAAACAACAGTTACCCCCGACACAGCACAGACATTGCACCCAAACCTGGCACGGGGAAAGCAGGGGGACCGCGGTGCCCAACATCCTGCTGCTGCCAAAGGTTGCTAAAATACACTTGAGAGACGCCGGGTAGAGGCTGTGCCCCCTGCTACAGAGGAAGGCAAAATCCCCCTGTCTGAAGCAATCTGGCTGGGGTCAAATCCCTTCCTGACCCCAAATGTGGCATCGGGCTGATCTGAGCAGAGGGACAAGCCCCTCTAGGCAGGAGCGTGCTGGATTCGGTCTGGGCCGAAGCACCAGTGCGGCCGGTCGAAATCCCTGCCTTGGCTGCACCCACCACCGGTGCGTCTGAGGAAGGTGAAAGCACCCCCCGACACATGTAGCAGCAGGAGAGGGAACAAATCTCTTCCCAGCCCCACGTGGCAACCAGCAAAGCCTAGAAAATCCCAGCGCTGTGTCATTTGCAGCCTTGCTCCAGGGGGTTTCTATGCCAGCCTCCAAATCCTTCATAAACACCGAGAGCAGCGCCGGGCCCTCTGAGACGCCACTCAAAACCCTCTGCCGTTCCCACGTGGGTCCTTTTCTCCTTGAATTGCCCCTTGCTTGCAGTTATCTGTCCACCTTACGGTACCTTTGCCCAGCCCACGTTTCTCCCTCTGCTTTTGAAAAGGTCACTTGGGGCTTTCTCCAAAGCCTTGCTGAAGTCCAGATCCACGACTTCCACAGCCTTCCCTCCGCCCACCCAAGCCGTTACTCCGTCCAGCCTGTTTGGCACCGTCTGTTGTGGGTCAATCCCTGCTGGCTGCTCGCAATGGTCTTTTGTTACCTGGATTATGGAGGACTTGCATTTTGGCTACTGAGAAACGAGGCAGCAAACAGGTCTAGAGCCCGGCCTTCTGCTGCCTGCACCTCCGAACACAAACACAAGCGGTTGTCCCAAAGTCCATCGGCCACGCGTGACAGCACAGCACGGGCAACACGGACCTGTACCGCTGGGGAGACTCGGGGAGGGGGGAAGCCGGCACACAGGCTGGCAGTGTGTCTTCTCCAAGTTTCCCTCCAGCCCGCGCCCCTCATTTACAGAAGGGCCCCCCGCTGCCGAAAGGATGTGGACAAGTTAGAGAGAGTCCAGAGAAGGGCAACGAAAATGGTTGGGGGCTGCGGCACACGACCGGTGAGGAGAGGTGGAGGGAACTGGGCTGAGTGAGTCTGCAGAAGAGAAGACCGAGGGGGACTGAATAGCAGCCTTCACCTCCCTGCCGGGGGGCTGCACAGAGGATGGAGCTGGGCTGATCTCAGTGGGGGCAGATGGCAGGACAAGGAGCAATGGGCTCAGGTTGCAGCAAGGAAAGTTTAGCTTGGATATTAGGTAAAACTGGAACAGGTCACCCAGAGAGGTGGTGGAGTCTCCATCCTTGGAGGTGTTGAAGACCCAGCTAGACAAAGCCTTGGCTGGGATGATGTATTTGGGGCTGGTCCTGCTTGGAGCAGGGGTTGGACTGGATGTGACCTCCTGAGCTCCCTTCAACCCCCATTTTTTGTGACTCTAGTCTCAATATTCTAATAAATGTTCTCCGATCGGTTTAACTAAATCTTTGTTTCACTGAAACTTTGGGGCTTGCACTGAGCCAGATCTCTTGTGGACGTGGAAGGTGTTAATTAGTTGGAACTTAAGTCTTTGGGAAAGTAAAAAGGAGGGTTTCTTGTCTCCTTTCCTTTGCAGTCCAGTTCAGCGCTGGCCTGTCTCTTCTTTACCT